TAAATATATAATATAAATTTACAAGTTTCACTTTCAAAATATATATTTCCCTTACAGAAAAGAAGAAAGTTTCTCTTTATTCTTTAGTCTTAATTATCCCTTACCTAAAAAAAAAAAACAAAAAAAAACCACTCGTTGCCATCAAGTCAATTCTGACTCATAGTGACCCTACGGGACAGAGTAGAACTGCCCCATAAGGTTTCCAAGGAGCGGCTGGTGGATTTGAACTGCCTACCTGTTGGTTAGCAGCTGAGCTGAGCTCTTAATCATTGTGCCACCAGGACTCCTAGTTATGGTATATTGTTATGCAGCAATAGTCAGGAAAGGAGAATTTTGATTTAGGAAAAGATTGGAAAAAATAAATTTGGAGAATAAAATAATATACACTGCAAAGGGGAGATGGAGTTAGTTAGCCAAAGAGAACATGTGACTACTGAGTAAGTGAGAAGCAGGTAAGAGAAGCAATAGGGAGAGAAGGTTCAGAAACTAAGATGAAAAGTTTTTAAAGCCAATTAAACTCTGCATTGCATTTTTCCCCAAATCCTGCTGATAGTCACTGTGACACTGGATATCACCAACACCCTCTTGAATAAAGATATTAGCACAGTCTGAAAAGTTACTATCCTCAACTCCTGTAATCCAATCTTTTTTTTTTTTTAAATAATCCAGGCAAAAATAATAATTGTTACTATCATGAAGAGCATATCTGGGAGTCTTATGTGCCTTAATTCTAGTCTTCAGTACAACCTTGCTGAGTAGATATTATTCTACTTAGAATAGTAGATGGGAACATCAACTTGTGAGCTTCATCTTGGTAAGAAACTCCCCCAGCATCATATAGCTGATGAGTAACAGAGCCAGGTGAAGGTTGTTCTAGTCTTATCCCATGCAGCACAGCCTCTCCAATTCAGATACATAGTTTTTCTTCTAATCCCCACTTCCCATTCTATTCATAGGAAAGGAAAAGACTGGAATGAAGAAAGAGGAGATAGAAGAGAAAGTGTATATAGGTTTCAGAAATGGGAGGGAAAACATGTATGCACAGCAGCCAATCTTATGGTATCTTCTACCCTTTCTCTTGTTGGTAACCTAGGAAAGAAACTATAAGCTGCAAATATGAGGCTTTAGTTAAGCAGCCAATTCTTTTGAAATGCAATTTTCTCCTAAAAAAAAAAAAAACTACCACTAGTTAAAATTGGTGTACTAAAATATCTGAAATTATATGTAAATGATAAACACCCATATTGAAAGAATGTTTATTATTTTTCATCAAAAGTTTGGAATATAATCAATCAATATGCACACTTTTTTTAAACCATTTTCTTTGTACACAGTTCTCAACAAGGGGAGAGAAATTAAGGTGCCTTTAAGTAGTAGACAGTTTGGGAGACAAGAATAATTTGTATGAGAAGTTACAGGATAAGAGTCCAATGAAAGGATGATAATCATTGATGTAATCAGAACAATAAAAGCAAGAGATCAGAGGCGGGTGTAACAGTAAGGAAAGGACCTGGAGAAAGTAAGATCTTATCAGACCATGTTCAATAGATAGGTTTGGAGAAAATGCAGAGCAAGAAATTGGGAGAATATGGGAGGACATCCAGGAGAAAAAGGTTAGCACTCAGAATAAATACTGCAATAGCTTCTTAGTTGTTCTTTCATTCTCCTGTCTTACTACACACAGCTCCACCATTACTAATCCATGTTGTTGTGAAAGTGACCTTTCTAAGTCTGACCATGTTGTTTCAGTACTCACAACTTGTCAAAGGATTGCCACTTACCCCTATGTAAATTCTAAATTGTTTAGGCAATTAAGGCTCTGTCTTTCCAATACGCGTCTTTCTGGAACACACCTATCACCATTTATTCCCTTCCCATCTCTCTTGTCTAAAACACTACAGACAAACGGAACTTCAAGATCCATTTGTCTGTAGTGTATTCATTCAATCTTCTGGCCTTTGTATAAACTTTTCCATTGACCTAACCAGAAATCCTGGAATGTACAAAGTATGAATCTAGGAAAATTGGAAATCATCAAAAATGAAATGGAACACACAAACATCAATATATTAGGCATTAGTAAA